AGAAATAGCCATTATTTACTATTTTACACCTAGGGTTACTATACATGATTTTGAAATTGAAATGCTCCAGGCATTTATATATAAACCCCAGTCGTACTTTAATCAATGCCTTTTCGAAGTCTGCTATGAATAGCAGGCCTGGTTTCCCAGATTTTCCATAGTGTTCTATTGTTTCCAATACTTGCCTTATATTATCTCCAATGTATCTTCCATGTAAAAAACCTGTCTGATTAGACTGAATAATATCCGACAATACCTTTTTAATTCTATGCGCTATACATTTTGCTAGAATTTTTGCATCACAACACTGAAGTGTAAGGGGCCTCCAATTTTTTTAATGGACTGGATCTTTATATTTGTCGCATACAACTTTCTACTGAGAACAAGGATAATTCCCTGCTTCCAACCTTCCCACTGTTTCTAGCATTTGCCTATCTCATTTCATTACTGTTTGAATGAAGTGTGAAACCACCCCCCAAAAAATATTAGCATACTTTACATTTCATCCCCGCAAAATCTCAAAGTAACAAAGTCGTCAAATTTTGAGTGTTAATTTAATGTTCAATGCGTCCTGAATACACCTGAGCTGTGGTTTTTATGTTTTTTTATTTTCCACTCTGATCATAGGCCTAAGCCATGTCAAAATATGTACAATTGCAGGAAATGAGCTTTAAAACAGTAACATTTTCCTAGTCCCCCTTCTAGGTATTGTGCCGGGGGGCAATGAAATTCACATAGCAAATCTCAATCCAAGCTTTCTTCAAAAGTTGGCAGCCATGCGGCTATAAGCTTATCATATGTTACAACAGATTTCCAAAAGATGCAGTGAAAAGGCAAAAAATGGACTGTGTCAATAAGGAAGGAAGGATCAAGATAGTCTCCACTCACAATCTGGTTCGTTTTAGATTTAATTGCATTGATAAAAGATGCAACTATGCATAATAGCAATCGCCCGTGTTAATAAAAAGTAGACTAATCTTTAAAAAATCTTTGACTAATCTTAAAAAATGTATTGCCAATTATCAGAATATTTGATGAAAATATTTGATGTTGTTTCCCCAAGTTAAAATACATTGTGAAATCTATATTACATATTATTCTGTTTTGGGGCTTCTTGCTGGATTTGTTTTGGTAATTGTGAGGGAAGGCTGATGAGAGCCTGGTACACCCCTACCCGGTCTTTATGGTATAGACAGTTTTGCTTGCTCCTAGGCATTTATTTTTCATTGAAGTTTATTGACAACTTTGTACGTCTATTTGTTTATATCTAAATATGCTCAATAGCATTTGTGGACCACGCCGTCACCTGTAAATAAAAGCAAAACTTCTGCACCTGAATGTGAGATTAATGTTGTTATTATAGGAAAATGTATGAAGAAATATAAATTAGTATATACAGTGAGGGAAAGAAGTATTTGATCCCCTGCTGATTTTATACATTTGCCCATTGACAAAGACATGATCAGTCTATAATTTTAATGGTAGGTTTATTTGCACAGTGAGAGACAGAATAACAACAAAAAAATCGAGAAAAACGCATGTAAAAAATGTTATAAATTGATTTTGCATTTTATTGAGGGAAATAAGTATTTGACCCCTCTGCAAAACATGACTTAGTACTTGGTGGCAAAACCCTTGTTGGCAATTACAGAGGTCAGACGTTTCTTGTAGTTGGCCACCAGGTTTGCACACATCTCTGGAGGGATTTTGTCCCACTCCTCTTTGCAGATCTTCTCCAAGTCATTAAGGTTTCGAGCCTGACATTTGGCAACTCGAACCTTCAGCTCCCTCCACAGATTTTCTATGGGATTAAGGTCTGGAGACTGGCTAGGCCACTCCAGCACCTTAATGTGCTTCTTCTTGAGCCACTCCTTTGTTGCCTTGGCCGTGTGTTTTGGGTCATTGTCATGCTGGAATACCCATCCACAACCCATTTTCAATGCCCTGGCTGAGGGAAGGAGGTTCTCACCCACGATTTGACGGTACATGGCCCCGTCCATCCTCCCTTTGATGCAGTGAAGTTGTCCTGTCCCCTTAGCAGAAAAACACCCCCAAAGCATAATGTTTCCACCTCCATGTTTGACGGTGGGGATGGTGTTCTTGGGGTCATAGGCAGCATTCCTCCTCGTCCAAACACGGCGAGTTGAGTTGATGCCAAAGAGCTCGATTTTGGTCTCATCTGACCACAACACTTTCACCCAGTTCGCCTCTGAATCATTCAGATGTTCATTGGCAAACTTCAGACGGGCCTGTATATGTGCTTTCTTGAGCAGGGGGACCTTGCGGGCGCTGCAGGATTTCAGTCCTTCACGGCGTAGTGTGTTACCAATTGTTTTCTTGGTGACTATGGTCCCAGCTGCCTTGAGATCATTGACAAGATCCTCCCGTGTAATTCTGGGCTGATTCCTCACCGTTCTCATGATCATTGCAACTCCACGAGGTGAGATCTTGCATGGAGCCTCAGGCCGAGGGAGATTGACAGTTATTTTGTGTTTCTTCCTTTTGCGAATAATCGCACCAACTGTTGTCACCTTCTCACCAAGCTGCTTGGCGATGGTCTTGTAGCCCATTCCAGCCTTGTGTAGGTCTACAATCTTGTCCCTGACATCCTTCGAGAGCTCTTTGGTCTTGGCCATGGTAGAGAGTTTGGAATCTGATTGATTGATTGCTTCTGTGGACAGGTGTCTTTTATACAGGTAACAAACTGAGATTAGGAGCACTCCCTTTAAGAGTGTGCTCCTAATCTCAGATCGTTACCTGTATAAAAGACACCTGGGAGCCAGAAATCTTTCTGATTGCGAGGGGGTCAAATACTTATTTCCCTCATTAAAATGCAAATCAATTTATAACATTTTTGACATGCTTTTTCTGGATTTTGTTGTTGTTATTGTGTCTCTCACGGTTCAAATAAACCTACCATAAAAATTATAGACTGATCCTTTCTTTGTCAGTGGGCAAACGTAGAAAATCAGCAGGGGATCAAATACTTTTTTCCCTCACTGTACAGTGCCTTCAGAAGGTTTTCATACCCCTTGACTTATTCCACATTTTCTTGTGTTACAGCCTGGATTAAAAATTGATTAAATAGATTATTTTTCTCACCCATCTACACACAATATTATGTAGGGCAGCCCGCGAAGTGACACTTCTTATCAACTGCATGCAAGAATTTCCTCTGTGTTGTCTTAGGAATTCAGATTCTCTGTATTATCTCTCCAACCCCAATTGTCTCACCTCTGAGAAGCAGAGGTTACATCATGTAGGTTAGATATTTGACTGGAGGTTGACTTTACAGTAATACTATTGGTCAACAACTCAGATTTTGAAACCGAACAACTCAGATGCTTATAAAAGGGTCTTAGACTCATTGATCTTTATCTTTTTTGTTCCTGAACTGCTGTGGTAAGATACTCTCTCTCTTTCTTTCTTTCTTTCTTTCTCTCGCCACCCAATGGACCTCTGTGAAATGGTCTTTCAGGCTATGATTTCTCTTTCTCTCTCTGATCATGCTTAGAATAATGCTTTGTTAATGTCAGTATTGCCTTGTAACTTAAGCTTTATGCCTTGTATGGGAATCCAATACTTTGTAGAGCCACCTTTGCAGCAATTACAGCTGCAAATCTCTTGGGGTCGGTCTCTATAAGCTTGGCACATCTAGCCACTGGGATTTTGCCCATTCTTCAAGGCAAAACTGCTCCAGCTCCTTCAAGTTGGATGGGTTCCACTGGTGTACAGCAATCTTTAAGTCATACCACAGATTCTCAATTGGATTGAGGTCTGTGCTTTGACTAGGGCATTCCAAGACATTTAAATGTTTCCCCTTAAACCACTTGAGTGTTGCTTTAGTAGTGTGCTTAGGGTCATTGTCCTGCTGGAAGGTGAACCTCCGTCCCAGTTTCAAATCTCTGGAAGACTGAAACAGGTTTCCCTCAAGAATTTCCCTGTATATAGCGCCATCCATCATTCCTTCAATTCTGACCATGCTGCCACCACCATGCTTCACTGTGGAATTGGTGTTCTCGGGGTGATGAGAGGTGTTGGCTTTGCGCCAGACAGAGCGTTTTCCTTGATGGCCAAAAAGCTCAATTTTAGTCTCATCTGACCAGAGTACCTTCTTCCATATGTTTGGGGAGTCTCCCACATGCCTTTGCTTATTTTTTTCTTTAAGCAATGGCTTTTTTCTGGCCACTCTTCCGTAAAGCCCAGCCCTGTGGAGTGTACGGCTTAAAGTGGTCCTATGGACAGATACTCCAATCTCCGCTGTGGAGCTTTGCAGCTCCTTCAGGGTTATCTTTGGTCTCTTTGTTGCCTCTCTGATTAATGCCCTCCTTGCCTGGTCCATGAGTTTTGGTGGGCGGCCCTCTCTTGGCAGGTTTGTTGTGGTGCCATTTCTTTCAATTTTTTAATAATGGATTTAATGGTGCTCCGTGGGATGTTCAAAGTTTCTGATATTTTTTTATAACCCAACACTGATCTGCACTTCTCCACAACTTTGTCCCTGACCTGTTTGGAGAGCTCCTTGATTTTCATGGTGCCGCTTGCTTGGTGGTGCCCCTTGCTGAGTGGTGTTGCAGACTCTGGGGCCTTTCAGAACAGGTGTATATATACTGAGATCATGTGACACTTAGATTGCACACAGGTGGACTTTATTTAACTAATTATGTGACTTCTGAAGGCAATTGGTTGCACCAGATCTTATTTAGGGTCTTCATAGCAAAGGGGGTGAATACATATGCACGCACCACTTTTCCGTTATTTTTTTCATTTCACTATTTTGTGTATGTCCATTACATGAAATCCAAATAAAAATCCATTCAAATTACAGGTTGTAATGCAACAAAATAGGAAAAACGGCAAGGGGGATGAATACTTTTGCAAGGCACTGTATTCATGAACAGGAAATGACAGTGCATGAAGAGGAAATGAAATAAATTATGCAGATTTATTTGTTTGTTAAAATACAATAACTTCAAGGAAACAGGTCCGCTAAGGTTATTGGTGTCCGCCTAAGTTTTTTTTTCAGTGTTGAGTTCAGTTAAAGTAAGACGCCGATTGTTTTACTTCTTCCCTTTCTTCTTGGCATCTTTGCCTCCCTTTGTCGGTGCCTCCTCCTCTCCCTCCTTTCCTGAGGCAGCCTTGGCTCGCTTCTTGCCCAGAGGAGTTTTAGCATACCAATTCTGCAAACAAATGTTCATCATCAAAGTCTTGATGTCAAACACCTTTCTTGTAAAGAAAATGCATTCAGCATCAACAAACTAAGATAGAAAAGCTAAGTATTAAACATCTCAGAATTTACCTTCAGGGCCTCCTCCTCATCCTGAAACACTGGGTCGATCTTGGCCAGCGGGGCCACAAACTCGGCGGCGCTCAGGGGTCTCTTGGCCAGCTGCTGGACGCGGCGCTCCGTCAGTATGCTGCACACCACCTGCACCATATGACCCTGCGTGTAGCCATCAGAGATCTTGGCCAAGGAGCTCAGGTCCAGGGCAGCCGTCACCTGTCCTCCGTTCTTCTTGATCAGCTGCCTCCACATGACTAAGGGGAAAGCATAGATATTACCATTAGGACTTGAAGGGTACGTACATAAAGACTTCATAACACATTCATAAGCATGCATGCATAACACATTCACAGGCAGTACATACATAAGCAGTTCATAAATGCTTATGTCAACAACTGGGAGATACATTCTTACCATATCGTGAGGCGTAGTCGGGACGTGGAATGAGGATAATTTTGCTGTACACCTTGCATAGTGATTTGAGGTCGGCATTGAATGGATCTTGAGTCGTTCCCACGACTAGAACACGATCTTCCCCTTTGATCGATTTGAGGATCTTGGGCAAGTCTTTCTTCAAGCGTTTTGGATCTAACTGTGTACATGAGAACATCGTTTGGACTTAAGAATTTAGATATCTTCTCATACACTAGCATTATAAAAAATGTATAACATAAGCTACTAACTCATGGGTATGAATGGTTACCTCTTTTTCCTCCTTCGGTACTTTCTTGTAAAACATTTTCTCTGTATCTCCAATCCACACCACTGATGGCTGCATCAGTCTGGCAACCTACAAACAGAATGAATGAATGATCGAATGAACAAACAAAGGACTGGACATCTACAGTGAGGGAAAAAAGTATTTGATCCCCTGCTGATTTTGTACGTTTGCCCACTGACAAAGAAATGATCAGTCTATAATTTTAATGGTAGGTTTATTTGAACAGTATAATTTTAATGGTAGGTTTATTTGAACAGTGAGAGACAGAATAACAACAACAAAAATCCAGAAAAACGCATGTCAAAAATTTTATAAATTGATTTGCATTTTAATGAGGGAAATAAGTATTTGACCCCCTCTCAATCAGAAAGATTTCTGGCTCCCAGGTGTCTTTTATACAGGTAACGAGCTGAGATTAGGAGCACACTCTTAAAGGGAGTGCTCCTAATCTCAGTTTGTTACCTGTATAAAAGACACCTGTCCACAGAAGCAATCAATAAATCAGATTGCAAACTCTTCACCATGGCCAAGACCGAAGAGCTCTCCAAGGATGTCAGGGACAAGATTGTAGACAAGGCTGGAATGGGCTACAAGACCATCGCCAAGCAGCTTGGTGAGAAGGTGACAACAGTTGGTGCGATTATTCGCAAATGGAAGAAACACAAAAGACCTGTTAATCTCCCTCGGCCTGGGGCTCCATGCAAGATCTCACCTCGTGGAGTTGCAATGATCATGAGAACGGTGAGGAATCAGCCCAGAACTACACTGGAGGATCTTGTCAATGATCTCAAGGCAGTTGGGACCATAGTCACCAAGAAAACAATTGGTAACACACTACGCCGTGAAGGACTGAAATCCTGCAGCGCCCGCAAGGTCTCCCTGCTCAAGAAAGCACATATACAGGCCCGTTTGAAGTTTGCCAATGAACATCTGAATGATTCAGAGGAGAACTGGGTGAAAGTGTTGTGGTCAGATGAGACCAAAATCGAGCTCTTTGGCATCAACTCAACTCGCCGTGTTTAGAGGAGGAGGAACGCTGCCTATGACCCCAAGAACACCATCCCCACCGTCAAACATGGAGGTGGAAACATTATGCTTTGGGGGTGTTTTTCTGCTAAGGGGACAGGACAACTTCACCGCATCAAAGGGACGACCGTCAAATCTTGGGTGAGAACCTCCTTCCTTCAGCCAGGGCATTGAAAATGGGTCGTGGATGGGTATTCCAGCATGACAATGACCCAAAACACACGGCCAAGGCAACAAAGGAGTGGCTCAAGAAGAAGCACATTAAGGTCCTGGAGTGGCCTAGCCAGTCTCCAGACCTTAATCCCATTGAAAATCTGTGGAGGGAGCTGAAGGTTCTGCAAAGAGGAGTGGGACAAAATCCCTCCTGAGATGTGTGCAAACCTGGTGGCCAACTACAAGAAACGTCTGACCTCTGTGATTGCCAACAAGGGTTTTGCCACCAAGTACTAAGTCATGTTTTGCAGAGGGGTCAAATACTTATTTCCCTAATTAAAATGCAAATCAATTTGACATGCGTTTTTCTGGATTTTTTTGTTGTTATTCTGTCTCTCACTGTTCAAATAAACCTACCATTAAAATTATAGACTGATCATGATCAGCAGGGGATCAAATACTTTTTTCCCTCACTGTACCTCAGAACCATCAGTCATTGTAAAATTTCAACATAAACAACACATCAAAACTCTCAAAATGGAGTGCGCTGTGTCGAGTCCTTTTCATTAAATCGTGTGTTACCTTGAACACCATGTGGAGCATCATGGTCAGGCCACTCTTGCCGGGGTATTTCCCTGCCAGGTTCTGAGGTGACAGATCAAATAGGTTGGCGCCCGTCTCCTGGCAGATGGCATGGACCAGCATCTTCTTGCCTACACCCGCGGGCCCTGCCAGCAGGATGGCCTTCACCAGAGGAGCCTTCTCATGGACCACCTGAGAACCTACAAGCAACATTTAGAACTTACAGTCATGGCCAAAAATATTGGCACCATTGCACTTTTTTCAAGTAACTCACAATTTTCCCTAAAAATAGGTTGAAATTGAACAAAGTATTTGGTCTCCACAATTCTTTATTTCACTGTTAATATTACAGAACCTTTGTTTTTGATTCAGAACTTAATATATCCATTTAAATTGGATATTGACACCCTAGACTTAATATTTGGAAGCACAGCCTTTGGTCAAAATAACTGCAATCAAGCACTTCCTATTGCCATTGATGAGCTTCCTGCACCTTTGTACTGGCAGTGTGGCCCACTCCTCTTGTGCAAACTGCTCCAGTTCTCCCAGATTAGAAGGGTGCCTTCTCCCAACTGCTGTTTTCAGATCTCTCCACAAGTTTTCAATAGGATTTTGATCTGGACTCATTGCTGGCCACTTCAGAATAGTCCAGCGTTTTGTCTTGAACCATTCCTGGGTGCTTTTTGAAGTGTGTTTGGGGTCATTGTCCTTCTGGAAGACCCATGACCTTCGACGGAGACCCAGCTTTCTGACACTGGGTCCGACATTGCGCTCCAAAATGACTTGGTATTCTCCTGATTTCATGATGCCATGCACACGTTCAAGGCACCCAGTGCCATAGTCAGCAAAGCAACCCCAAAACATCACTGAACCTCCTCCATGTTTGACTGTAGGGAAGATGTTATTTTCTTTGAATGCTTCATTTTGTTTTCTGTAAACATTGAGATGGTGTGCTTTACCAAAAAGCTCTAATTTGGTCTCATCTGTCCATAGGACATTCTCCCAGAAGGATTTTGGCATGTTCAGGTGTGTTTTGGCAAATTGCAGTCGGGCTTTCTTTTGACTTTCTCTCAGCAGTGGGGTCCACCTTGGTCTCCTACTATATAACCCCTTTTCATTGAGTTGGCGACGGATGGTGCGAGTTGAAACTGTCGTACCTTGTGTCTGAAGGTCAGCTTGAATCTGTGTGGCAGTTGACCGAGGTTCTTTCTCCACCATTCGAACAATCCTTAGCTGAAATTTTCCATCAAGTTTTCTCTTGCGGACATGGAGGTTGGCAAAAGTGGCATGGGCCTTAAACTTCTTGATAACATTACGTACAGTGAAAACAGGAACATCAAGGTCTCTGGAGATGGACTTGCAGCCTTGAGATTGTCCATGCTTGGCTACAATCTTGTGTCTGACCTCCTCAGATAATTCTGTGGTTTTCTTTCTTTTCTCCATGCTCATTGCGCTACACACAGCGACACAAAACAGGAGAATGAGTCCTTTTCTCTATTCAAACTGGTTGAATTAGTGATTTCTATATTGCAGGCACCTGCAACTCACCACAGGTGAGTTAAATTCCAAAGTAAAGGAGAATCACTTGCTTGAAATCTAATTATTTCTAACTACTTCTAGAAGGTGCCAATAATATTGTCAGGGCAATTTTAGGATTTCTTTGTGGAATAAGCTAAGATTTAGCAAATATTTCCGATTTTTCTGTTTTGTTCAACTGCACACCGAAGACATACATATGTGGATACCAAAATATGTTGTAACTTCAACACTTTTCTGGAAGAAATTGTGCATTATTTGAAAAAAGTGCAAGGGTGCCAATATTTTTGGCTACAACTGTAGCTAGAACCTTTAGAACCTTGGAGAATAAATGTCTAGCTGAAAATGGCAGGTGTATTCTAAACAAAGACATTACCACATAGTTTCAATCTAGCAAGCTAAAATCAATCACGAGACTAATTAAATTGTATCTGTATTAAGGATTAAGGTCTCAAATTCTGTGAGACTCTTATCATCTGAGGACAACTCCAGATGTTCCAAACGTACCTAAAGGTAAGACGGCGTACAGAGCTATGACCTGTCTCACGTCGGACAGCGAAGGCATGGGCTCAATGTCAGTTTGTCTTAACGTCGTCCCCAGATAGCTATAGTCACCTGGGACACAGGAGAGAGAAGCTGTCAGGCTGATCAAATCTGGGGAAAGCATTTAGAAAAGCTGAAGAAAAGATTAATGTAAACTAGTAACATTTACCATCTTGATTCATGAATATGAGATTTCCCTAAAATATGCTTTAGTTTGTCCTCAATATTATTTTGCCAAGCACTAGCCAGGTGAGTGCAGTATTTGCACACTTATCAAGCTCAGTCCCTTTGGTCTACAATACATAACAGCACTTATGTTATGATTAATGGCAGTCTATACAAAATTATGTGTGCACAAAATGATTTAGCAAATGTTAAAGTGGAATCAGAGGAGAAAGGAGAGGTTAGAAAATATACCTTAATTTGAAGGTAATTGGTAAAGTTAGTGTGTATCTACAGACAGCACACTGGAGGGACCAAACAGTGTTGCTTACCTAAATAATCCTGCAGTTTAACATTATCTGCCTGTTTCAACAAGCCCTGTTCCACCAGCTCCTGATACAGAGACTCAATATTCCTATAGGATGTAAATATTTACATATTTCAGAATGGCTTTTTTCAGATCTAAAGCATTATAGTTGTATGTTGTGTCCTTCAAATTCTAAAGCCCCTATCATGTACATTCCATGGGTAAAAGTAAATGGTAAAAAGCTCAAATGGCCTATCCCTCTGGGAGAAATGTAGATGAGTCTGGTCTCACCTATCAGCTGTCAGATCTTTGTCTTTCTTTTTCTTCTTTCCACTTTTCGACCCTTTCTTTTTCTAAGCAGCAAAATAAATGACATCAGTACACTTCTCAAGTAAACAGATATCAAACATAAAAGTATTATTGAAATATCGTCATAGATAAATGTTCCCTCCTGTTTGTTACCTTTGCGCCTCCCTTGGCTTTGCCACCCTTATCTTTATCCACGGCCAGTTTCCAGTTAGCCAGCTCCTGCCTCATCAGCTCATCCACCTGTGTCAAGCACAACAGCTCACTCAGTACCCTATATGTTTACCTTATAAACAACATTAAAGGGATACTTCAGGATTTTGGCAATGAAGCCCTGTATGTACTTCCCCTGAGTCAGATAAACTCATGGATACCATTTGTATGTCTCTACATCCAGTATGAAGGAAGTTAGAGGTAGTTTCGCGTTTCAATGCTAACTAGCGTTAGCACAATGAATGGAAGTCTATGGTATCTACTAGCATGCTATCAATTACCATATACTTCTAGTCATTGCGCTAACGCTCGTTAGCAACTTCCTTCAAACTGCACGTAGAGACATACAAATGGTATCAACAAGTTCATCTGACTCTGGGGAAGTAGGCTAAAATCCTGAAGTATCCCTTTAATATGTACCTTATTTTTATCCACTCAGTGCAGTGGTAAGAGCAAGGCTACCTGGCCTGTCTCACTTCTCAGAGTGACAGAATAATTTGTCTCACCTGCAACCTGATCTCCACCTCAATCTCCTTCCTCTTCTCCTCCTTGATCAGCTCAGCTTCGTGCCTCTGGCTGAAGTTCTTGGACTCAGTACGATTCTGCCACACCTCTGTCAGTCATACAAACATCTACTTTCAATGTACTGTAGAATATTGATACATAAGAAAACACACTGTATCTATAAGGTCTTTGTCTGCCAGAGAAGAAGAATAAACTACAAGGACGCTTTGGATGCCGTTATCCGTTTCTCTTACCACCAAAGGTCTTGTGTCCTACTTCCAGTTCTCCTAGGAAAGCAGATGGCAGCATCTTTAGCCCAGGTTCCTCCTCCTGTGGTTCAACAAAGCTACAATCATTGATCGGACAGAGTAAAAGCATCTCGTTGACCATGGCTATGTATTCTAAAGTATTTAATGTACCTCATCTCCTCCCTTTCCCTTGTCTTTCTTCCCTTTGTCCTTATTTTCCTCCTTCCCTTTTAGCTTTTTGTTGGTGTCCTCCTCATCTTTTGCTGCTAGTTCCTCCATTAACTTAAAGACAGCAGATCCACTTACTGTAAGTCAATCTGCATGTATTACTACCATCACACATCAGAAGTTTCATTCATTAATGAATACCTGTTGAGGTGTTTTCTCTGCAAAGATGAGAGTCGAGCCTCCGTCCTCCTCCTCTGGGTAGTCAGGGAAAGTTCCTGTTGCATCACTAACAACCAAACATATTACCATCAACTGCATACTGTCATATACAGTATGCATATCACTGCCATGATAATGTCACCCCATTATTTCCATCTAATATGGAATAATATAATGACAATGTGTGAAAACAATTATCCTAACGTAACCACTGTCGTGATTCACAACCATCTCCCTGTAATAAACTCACTGGCATTCGATGAACCACTGTCTGATCTGGTCCTTCATGGTCTCCCTCATGTCGGGCCCCTCCACCTCTCTGAGTTTGTCTGTGATGGCCACAATGGACTTCTGGTAGTCCTCTTCGTGCTCCTCCTGCTTGCCCCTCCGATGGGCCTCGTTGGCCTGGGCAGCTGTTGTGGCAGGACAGGGCTGGATGTGTCTGGGCTCCATGGCCTGAGGGGGCAGGAGGAAAAGGTGCAACACTGCTGTGGTGGATGAGGCTGTCACCAAGCGGAGTAGGGTGAAGTTGCCCCTAGACACTGATCTTGGGTCAGTTTTGCATTTTCCCAACTAATGGTTAAGGTTAGGATTGGTGCAGCGGTAGCTGATCCTAGATCTGTACATAGGGAAAACTTCTCCCAGGAGCATCACAAAGCAGTCCTACGGTGCCATCTGCTGGTAGCTTAAAAGAGGCACTACACTATAGAAATGTTACAGATAGAGCTTATCTATCCGACTCACCATGCCCAAAAATATCATCTCCTCCTCTCGCTCCCTCTTTGTTTTTTTCCTCTGCACATAACCCTTCCATACCTGGAAGGGACAAAAGTAGCACCTTCGTTCAACTATTGTATGGTATCTTTAATGACTGACACTCACAGAGCATTCATACAAATGGCAAGCAATAACAATAACTACAGCAGGCTAGTTAAAGACCTCTGATTTCAGAGTATGCTCCCAATATGCTCCACATCATCACTTGGCTATACCAGTGACGTATAGTTTGGACTAAGCAGTCTCATTTACCTAGCGAGTGTGAGACCTATGGTCTAGGACTGATTGAAGGTACAGTATCTGACTTTGCCAGGCTGACCATACCTTCTGGATGCGAACCACAGCCGTGCCGATGGCCGCTGCCCCCAGGTCCCTGTCCTTGGCCCTCCTCTGCCTCTCCTCATCGCGCTGGATCTCCCTCATGAATTTGGCCCTCAGGCGCCCCTGGCGGGCCCTCTCTGACACCTGGATGATCTTTATGGCTTCCTCCAGGTTCAGTGCCCGCACTCCTACAGGCTGGGGCCCCAACAAACATGGGGTATTAAAGGTGGTCCTGTGTGGCTCAGTATCTAGCAATGCCAGAGTCATGGGTTCGATTCCCGCTGGGGTCACATACTTTAATATATGCACTCACTGTACTGTGATTCGCTTTGGACCAAAGTATCTGCTAACTGGCATTTAACTATTATATTGAAAGGAAGTTTCTGTGATAAACTGAAGATGATATCTTAGCTAGTTACTGTGTAGTTATGTGTAGTTACATGTAATTACACCAAGTCTAATGTTACGTGATACAGAAAAGCTAGCTAGGCCTAACTCACTTTGGGTCTCTCTACTACCGCCATGAGGTTGAGAATGTTGGAGAGCATATTCCCTCTCTCCTGCAGCACCTTGCTGCGTTCACTGAGGAAATATCGAGGGATGGGGATCTCAATGTCCTCCTGTAATGAGACATGAGATGCATTATGTCCAAAAAAGATACAGTGACATTTTATTACAGCAAATGAAACATGGGCTACATACCAAAACCGCACCCTGGTCCCTACATAAGCCACAACTTTTGACCAGAGGCCAAAAGCAGTGCACCATATAGGGAATAGCTATTCCCTAGGGTGCCATTTGGGACACGGCCATTTAGTGTAGGAGAGTGGCTCTCAAACTTTTTGACCCGCGACCCCCAAAAGCAGTGGTTCAAAGCTCGAGACCCCCGCGCACATGCATGCACAATCGCGGTGCAAATGTAGCCTGTCATTACAGCCATAAACAGTGATGCATTTTCAAAACGCACAGAAATAAACTGTGTTTTACACCTGTATTTTTTGCTGAAAGTCATTAATGTTAGCAGCCAATATCAACTAGGGTTTATCATGTCACTTCTCTGGAGTCCAGAGCAAGCAGAATCATACGGCCTGCCTGTATGCAGCAGAGGTTGCAGGATAGGGTGGAAAGCATGGTCTGTCTGCACCACACACTATCACTTTGGAGGGCTGCCTGCCCGCAGAATGCTACAGCTATCTTTAGACATATAGCCAGTAGCCACCCAAACTAGGCCTACACTGTAAAGGGTTTACCGTGAATTTGAAAGTAGCTTACAGGTAGCTCGGTGGCAAGTAAAATTCTGTATTTCATATTAAAGTAAACCCACTGTAATATAAATACAATATCAAAGAAAGTACTGTGTAATGACAGACAGACAGTACAATACTGTACAATTATTGTATTATACTGTAAAAAAATAAAATAAAATGCTACCATAATCAGAATGAATGAATGGATGAATGAAATTCATTGAGGGGAGGGGTTTGTATTTCACAGTATTTTACTGTAATTACAAGGGATTGGTGCAAGCAGGTTTGCTGCTAGGTAAAGTGTTTACACATTACAGCATTTTAAATAATATTTGGTGTTTTATATCACTTGCACTTCTAGAGGCCTTAACAAAGGCTTCCAAACTGGCAGTGACTACAGGGAAAAACAGACTAAAAGGACATGGCTAAATGCTCATCCATTTAAGGTTTAATACTCCAATCTGTCCCCTATACATTTAAATTGATGAGGCATTATAACCACATAAGAGTTAAATAGGTACAGCGTTCTCACTCACGGGTGCAACAAATATAGGCTCTTACAAGGCACACCTCAAAATATGTTAATGATTCAGAAAAAACAATGCCATGCGCCCACTAGAGCATTGTAAAGAAAATCCTCTTGTTTTTATGGTAACTTACTGGCAGCCAGTTACCTGTAATTTACTGTAAAAAAATGTACAGTATGTTACCATACATTTTTAAGAAACTTTGGTTTAACAGTACATTACTGTTAACTTTACAGTAATGTACTGTTAAACCAAAGTTTCTTTGGAATTTTCAGTAACATACTGTACCTATTTTTACATTAACTTACAGGTAACTAGCTGCCAGTCAGTTACCGTAAAAACAACTTCATTTTGTTACAGTGTGGTCAAAAGTTTTTGGGCACTCCAAAGACACGGTACGGTACTGTATTCTGTGGGGTGGAATTACCGTACCATTCGAAATACAGCAATTTTCCCACAATGCACCATCATTTACAGTATGCTACAGTTAAACATTTTAGAGTTATTTTTTCTGTTGATAATACCTAAAATTACCATAGAAATTACCACTTTCAGTTACAGTGTATCTGAAATATAAAGATTATCAATAAAATCGCCAGGTAGCCTATTATTGTTCTGGCAAAGATGCCTCCGTAGTAGATTTTTAAACTGTATTTTATATGGGTAGGTCTACTCTGTTTTTGTCAGGCAAAACCGGAGAAAATGAAGCAAGAAAATATGGATATGCGCACCCGTCTTTGTGCGCCAAAGCTGATGACTTGTTATTGGTCAACAATCAAGACACGCAACTTTTTAGTTCTGAAACACAGATTAAATGTTTTTGAGACATTAATTTTGTGCAATACCGTTGGCCTATATTAGAAACCTGATCAAATAGGCAAATGTCTCTCAAATAAAGATGGTAGGCTATATGTAGCCTATTAAAATATGTATGAAAAATATGTATTTGTCCCATTCAGTTTCACACTTGCAACCCCTAAAAACCTTCTTGCGACCCCCACTTTGAGGACCCCTGCTGTAGGAGACGTATCATGTTCTGTCTTTTCAACTTTCATGAACAAAAAGCTAAACATTTCAAATCAATGGATTTGGGGGGGTGAACTTACAGGCGTGAGCTTCAAGTCCTGGATGACATCGTCCATGTAATGGTACTCAGAGAACTCTTTCTCCACCATCTCATTCTTGAGTTCAAGCACCCGTCCCATCACGCCATCAAGGACCTCCCGGATCACTCTCCTCTTCTGGGGATGAACCACCTGGTCATAGGCCTCCTCCAGCTGCCTGAAGATCTGCACGTAGCGCACGTAGAGGGTGGCCAGGCGTTGGAAGAACACCACTCGGTCCTTCTCTGGGCGAGGAGGCTGAACAGGGAACTCTTGAGCCAGAAGGGAGTTCAACTCGACCTGGGCATTAGCCCACAGTTTGTTGTATGTACTGGAAGAGAGACAGTCATTGGAAGGACATTTAGCATGAAAATTAAATCAGCTGAAGTAGCTTGGACTTGGGAAATAAGTAAAAGCTAAGAATTGAGCTTCCCAACTGAAAACTGAGTGTTTTCCATTAATAGCATGATCATGTCCATAACAATGAAAAAAGGCTTACATTAGGTCTATCACATTGATATGTGTCTATTAAGAACATTATGGTATGCAAAATCTGCTACTAGTTAGTTTGATAGACAGGTGGTTTGCTAATTGGCAGAAATCCAGGCTACATAAAGTAAACATAGCTAGCTAAATTAGTAGCTAAAGTTAGCTAGCTTGCTAGCCAGCTAACTGAAGCCAATTAACGTTACTAACCTGTGAGACATGATGCAACTATCTCTATATAGCCAATAAAGCCTTTTGATTTCAATGTTTGCTAACTAATACACAAAAAGTGGCTTGTCTCTCTAAATAAATGGTAGCAGCTTGTACAAACATCGTTAGCTAGATAGCTAGCTTGATAAACTCAAACCAGGCAGTCTACAATTTTTTTATTTGTGTCGCGTCTGTGGTCATAGCAACGGACTAGTTCTGGAAACAGCCCACGTGGGATCATTGACGCGCATGCCCCTGTTGCCAAATTACAAACTGTTTCAAATTAATTATGTGTGAATACCATTGTAACAATAGCAGGATGAGTAAAAGCAAAGTGAAAGTATTGATGGGTGAAAGTAAATGTTTTGGCGATCATTAATGATATAAAATTATATGTAATTTATTTTGTAGCCTAAACCAAAATTATCCAAAAGTAATTTAAAATATATCGTCTATTTTGGGTGCTTTTCACCATTTTCATGCCCCATTTGAGAGTGTAGCCTAGCCCTAGCTTGTTACTGACTGAGCCAGGCAGAGCCTCGAGGGCTGCCAGGTAATTATCAGGCCACCAGATGACATCCTTTCTTTGAAAGCTATGTGAGATTTTCAAGACTACTTTGACTAATGATATTGAACATGCTTTTAACTTAAAATATTTCATTTTTTATGTTTTATTAGGCTTTAGGGCTATGCATTATAAAAACGTGGAATGAAATATGCTTTGAAGTAGGTGTTTCATTACTGTATTGCGTTATAAAATGACAATGCAGTATGTCTCTATTGTTATGAGGGCTACACATTTTGAGGGGAGAATATTGAGCTGAGCTCATCATCAGCATCATGATCCGCATAATGGCCCTAGTGGTGCATTTTGAGAGGATCAGATTTGAATGGATATGATGTGAAATATATTTTGCATTTTGATGTCTGTATGCCATATTTCAACTGATGCCCTGTGCTGATGCATGATTCATAGATATAGCCTATATCTTCCTATGTTTATGGTTTGCTTTCCATTGCCATGTAATTTACACCCAGTCACAACTGTGACTCATAAGCCTATTAATTTGATCAATGCAAAGCCATACATGAGAGATGAAGGTTATAGGTAAATCAAATATGGCACTATCATAACACCGAGGGAGAACTTATAATATTAGGCTATCACATAGTCTACATTTTCCTGACAGCATGTCATGACAAGCATGTGTACAAAATCACTCAATAAATGTTCGGGCCGTCATCATTACTCCATTTGGGCCTATGCTGTAACAAATTCCTAAAAATAACACATATAGGCTGCCTGTATCAACACTGTCTCTTGTTTATTTTAACCACAATTGTCCTAGACCACCAAATCACCTGATTTTCTTACTTAAAAAACAGTCTATACCAGAAAAAATATGAGATTTTGAACTCACTCAAGCGCGCGAAACAGTCGGAGGGCTGTTCTTGAGAGCGCATTCTCTGCTGCGTTTAGGCGGTCACAAGACTTGGACATCCATGAACAAAAACAAAGACGGCAATTAGCCGACACAGGTCAGGTTCAAGCTCATATGCCACTGAAACACTTCTGCCTTCAACAGGTCTTGCAACTTTGGAAACTTATTTCACTCGCCGTTGCGCGCTTTGGATGACATTTTCCCCAATGGAAATCTCAGCATTAATCCCTCCTATCCAAACTTGACATTGCAACATTGTTTTTCCTAAGCAGGAATAAGAAGTGAAGTGGTGTTCTTAGCCCACTTTCAGTGATGGTTTTGGACGTAAAGGAGGGGCGCATGCCAAAGGTAGCGACCACCATTGAATAAATTAAACCAAAGATATCAACAGTTGCCTACCACCCACTCGAAATCGATTGTATTAGAAGCTCGCTGAACGTATAAAACGGGACGTATGATTTCAAGACCGGCTGCAGACAACGGAATCTTCGCTCAATAAGCTACACAACCGACAACGCCTAAAGAGATTCGATACAGACAACTCGTGTCCACTTTTCAGGACATAAGCATCCTTTAATAACTTAAAGTAAGTTTGATTTTGTTTTCCAAGTAAGTTTGAGGTGATTTCTATGTCCATGTTATTGATTTGCTTTGTAGAAGTAGCCTACTGTCATCATCACTTGACAGTTACTATTCATGATAATGGAATTACGCTGAGAGTCAGATTTTTCACTTTAAAATGTATGCCATGAGAGTTGTATGGTGTGTTAAACTTTGAAATCAATGTTTTTTGTTTGGTATACATTTTAAAGTGAAAAATCTTGAATCTCAGAGTAACTGGTATTGCCCCCAAAGCAAATGTTCTCACACCTGATTGAATTGAAGACACCACACCTGGTTTTATTGTTTTATTATATTAGATCAATATATCAGCATTACTGTGGCTTTGTATAGTAGTATGACAAACACCATGTTGAGGAATTGACAATTGTTTTGTTGGCAACATTTTTATTCCCTCTAAATGTGATTATTTTAAGTAAAAAAATATCTTACTCATAGTTGCATTTATTAACCTGTTTAATGTAATTCAGAGAATATGTTCACTTGTATGCTTCATTTAATAGGCTACTTCTCACTGTTTCCACCACCATTAATGTTATACCTATCTTTTGGGGGGTGATAGAAATGTATGCAAAGTCACTTTGCAATTACTCACACCTTGTGGTTAGACACCATTTGTTTCTTTCCCGCACTGTATCTAACTTGATTTGTCTTGGCTTGTTTGCCCAGTCAGAAAAGCCATGCAGACAGAGAGAAAATGGCACATACTGTTGAGTATATTCCTTCTGCTGATCACCTCGAGCCAGTGCATGGACAGGAAGGAAGTGAAGCAGAAAGAGAGAAGGACCCTGCTGGACCTTATCTTACAGGTTATCGGAGACAGCCAATGGGGGGACAAGCCTGCAGTCTCCAGGCGCTATAACAGTGGCCTCTTCCCTGCAGCCCAAGAGATGAAGTTCTCCTCTCGAGAAAAGCCTTTATATGTTCCTAGGCTGGATAACAGTAGACCCATAGGTAAGCTGATAAGATTTATTTTTAGGCCATGATGAAACTGTAATCCCTATTTCACTGGGGCGTGACAGCTGCCTCTGGTCTGTATCAATATGTCTGCTACTGTAGCCTTTTGTGCATGATTACTTGTCCTTTTCTATGTAGGAAATGTCACACTATGATTTGAAGAGGTGAGAGCTGTCAATAAATTATGACTATTTTATAAACAATCTGTTTTTATAAATGTAATCGATGCAAGTATGCTTCACTATTTGGGGATGAGACAATATCAGCAATTGATTCAACAGGCTCTACATTACAATTAATTAGGGGAGCTATCTGTATTTCTGTCTCTGATGTGATAGTGTGTGAAGTGTGGATCTATGTTCCAGTTCCCTTTTGGCACCTTGAAAGAGCCACAATCCACCCTCTCACTTGGCTAGTGAGGTATCACCGCATCATGCAAAAGATTATCAATGGCTGACGCAGGCCAGGGCATCACCAACCAAGTTGCCCAGGGAGGAGCATCATTAGCATACTAAACTTGTGAATGATTCATTCAGTTCAGGATACATTGCGGAATCTCAAACCATGAATGATCAGCCTCCTCTAGCTTCTTGGCCAGCCAATGGTGAGCGTCACAGGAACTCATCACAGGTGACGTGAGACCAGGACACTCACGTGGCACACAGTTTAGTCAGCTGTGAACACACAGCCATTTTTACCACATTCACTGACTTAATTTCACCTGTAAGATCGAAAGACTATATTAATATAAAAGCCTTTTTGATCTAGTGGAACAATGGAATCCATGTGATTTGTGTTGGCTTTTGGAACTTGGTCAGATGTACTGAACGGGAAGTATTTGATACGTTTAGAGTCAATTTATTCATTTAGTCAAATTCTGTGACTGGTAAAAGCATTACTCATTGCCTTAGAATTTGTTTTGCATGGCTTTGATATATCTTTGAAGTCATTGTCAAGTGAGAGTATGGGTGGTGTTACTGTGCCTTTAAGACATTACAAAATAGCATATGCTAACTGGGACTGAGCCATACTAGTAAATCCTTAATACTCATCTGTGCAATTGTGTGAGCAATGCTACACATTCCCTCAGACTGTCCATATTACCATCCAAAAGATTGGTTTAAGAAATGCTTTATTGGGACATCCCCCTAATGTTGTCGAAGCAGTGTCTTAGACCCACTGTGTAACAGGCAAGAGAACCACACAGGCCGCTGGCCATACGGAATGTACATTTTGAGGAAGTCAAAATGTTGCACATTAGCAAGTGCTGTGTGCGCCATTCCTTAAGACCCACAGTCACACTAGTTTGTCTATGTTTTGCACGCAAGGAAGGAAGGAGAAATACCTCCTGCACACAGTTTCCATTCTCTTTGCCAATGTGTACTAGGTATCTCTCTTTTCTTACCATCAGGTAATCCAGACATCTCCAGCAGCAAGACAATATTATTGGATTTATAGGCAATGCTTTTGATGTCCTACCGGCAGTGGTGGAAAAAGTACTAAATTGTCATACTTGAGTAAAAGTAAAGATACCTTAATAGAAAATGACTCAAGTAAAAGGGAAAGTCACCCAGTAAAACACAACTTGAGTAAAAGTCTAAAAGTATTTGGTTTTAAATATACTTAAGTATCAAAAGTAAATGTAATTGCTAAAATATACTTAAGTATCAAAAGTAAAAGTAAAAGTATAAATCATTTGAAATTCCTTATATTAAGCAAAGCAGACGGCTCAATTTTCTAGTTTTTTTAAATTTATTTACGGATAGCCAGGGGCACACTCCAACACTCAGACATAATTTACAAACAAAGCATTTGTGATTAGTGAGTCTGCCAGATCAGAGGCAGTAGGGATGACCAGGGATGTTCTCTTGATAAGTGTGTGAATTGGACAATTTTCCTGTCCAAATGTAACAAGTACTTTTGGATGTCAGGGAAAAAATGTATGAAGTAAAAAGTACATTATTTTCTTTAGGAATGTAGTGAAGTAAAAGTAAAATTTGGCAAAATAGAAATAGTAAAGAAAAGTACAGATACCAAAAAAAACGACTTAAGTACTACTTTAAAGTATTTTTACTTAAGTACTTTACACAACTGCCTACCGGTTAGTGTTCGCATTTACCTGCCGTTTTCACACTTACACAACTCACATCTGATCTGGATTGGAGCCAGGTTAAGGTTTCAGGACCCTTATCCCCCTTACGTCAGACCCATAGCCTATTCATCTTTTTATATTGGAGTGATGACTTGTTGTTTTCCGTAGTGCCCAGTTGTATGTCTGGACATCAAACGCATTGCCTAAGCTTACTGTAGTGGTTTGTATTTGAACCGATCATCTTCTGCGATTTCTGCATCAGAGAGTACTGTTCATTCCTCAGTCCAGTCTGGTAAAATTAGCACAGCAGCTAGCTGCACTGAATTCTTTTTATGACATTGATACGCATTATAACTGCCGGGCTATAATCTCCTTGAACTGTTAGCCTGAATGCATCTGACACCTGTATGCTTTGCATGTTTGGAGAGTGGATGGGCTTGGCTGAGCTACAGAATGTGTGCAATGAGTCTCCAAGCCTGTTGGCTTGTCCTCAGTTGTGGGGAAATCTGGGAATCTGTGTATGGGCATTTCCATGGTAACAAAATTACACTGAGGCTCCAATTTTCACTTTAAAATGTACGCCAAACAAAAACCATTGATTGCAAAGTTAAACAAACCATCTATGCACAAGGACTACTTTTAACCATTTCCACTGAACATTTTACAAAAGCAGATGTAAAGCATAGCACAGTAGAGTTCAGTACAGCACAGTAGAGTATAGTTCAGTTCAGTACAGTAAAGTACAGTACAGAAGGGGAGAGCAGATATCAGTACAGTATAGTACAATACAGCAAATTATACTGTACTCTACTATAGTGTCCTCTACTGTACTGTACTAAACTCTACTGTACAGTACAGTACTGTATTGTACTGACCTATACTTTACTCTACTTTTCTTTACTGTACTGTACTGTGATGTGCTCTACTGTACTGTACTGTGCTGTCCAAACTTGTGAAACAGATGTCTATCATTGGTTCAGATTTGGACTGACCAAATTTCAACTACTTTTCAACGTCCATGGACGTCCAATGTCAGTCGGTGCTCAGTGGGTGAGGAGGCTGGTTACAGTAAATGGAAAGAGAGGGGGCTCATGGGTAGGTGTCAGCAAGAACCGGGAGAAGTGATATTAACTGGAGAGAGCGAGAAGAGAGATAGGGAGAAAGAGAGGGAGAGGTTGTCCAGACTGTTTTCACACTCTTGCTTTGACCACCACGCGACAGAAAGAGGAAGAAGACCGTTAATAAGAGCTGAACATAACAGTATGCCAGTGGACGGGAGGACAGTAGCAGGTGGCCTAACTGTGTTTTGTAACTACTATGATTTCCCATTGTAGCCAATTCAATTGCAGTCATTCTGTTACTTACCTTTTGGTAATTCTGTTACTGATTTGGTAACAGAATGACGCATTTTAATCACTTAATAATTCATAAACCCAATTGTTATCAGTAAAAACACTATAGCTAATTGGTAGGTCTACTTTTACTTGTTACTTCTGTAAACTTTCATTAGGAGGGAGAGAAATCAGAAAATATCTTAAAGATATGTGGGTTTTTGGAATCAGAATGACAAGACACTAGGCAATATTTCTTAAACTTACAAAAGGCAAATAATTTCTGCAAAACTAAATTCAAATGTTGATATTAGTTGGCAGGGGTCTTTACTTCAACATTATTGTGTTTTGATTTATTTATAATACCAAAGATTTTTAAAGATATTTTTGCTAGACGTTTTCTAAGACCCCTTTTCAATCTGTTTGAAATCAAAGTCTCCCTAATTTTAAGGATGGAAAATTGTAAATTTTTTTATATATGCCTTAATTTATCCAAAATATAGACTTAGATTACATTTGACACCAGATTTTATGTGCTTCTATGAACTTCACATGTTAGTGCTCATGCACTTCAATCAGTGTAGATGAAGGGGATGGCAACTCAATACTAGGAAGGTGTTCCTAATGTTTGGTATACTCAGTGTATATAAAAATGAAATAAAAATACTTAAGAACTCATAGTTGTTTTATCCCATCAGCTCTCTTCCATGCTAGAAAATGTATAGGCCTATTCTCTGATGGCACTTTCTTTACTTTATAATATAAGCACAGGTGTGATGGTTGTTTGTTCGTATTTACATTGCCTTACTTTAAATGTTGTAATATTTAAAAATTTACCTATTACTAAAGGGTTATCTTAAAGCTGAAATCCGTAAAGGGGTAAACAGCGCCACTGTTCTTTGTTATTGTTTTTGTTTTGTTGATGAAATGGAAGACAGGAGCGTCCGGCAGCGTGGTAAAAAAAAAAATCATCATCATGTGGCCAGTGACACTTTGCTTCTAGAAAGTCCAATATCTTGAAAACTTTACTGCTGACATGCAAAACATTTTGGGACTGTATCAACAGTGGACTAATGAAAATAAATACTAAAAGATCGTTTTTGAGTGGATTTTTCCTTTAATGCTAAGAGGTTTCACAGATTGGTTACTTTTCTTTTTCTTTTTTGTAGATATTGTCCCAAGAGATGTAAACCTGAAAGACAAGTTCATAAAGCATTTCACAGGTAAGAAAACTGATATTAAAATTTTTTCAATCAACATTCTATTTTTTCCATTTGTTTCTGGATCAATCTCACCTTACATCTGGGGCCATATGCATCAAGCCTCTTAGAGTAGGAGTCTAGGATCAGGTCCCCTCTGTCCATGTATTGTTATTCATTGTGATCTAAGAGGCAAAACGTATCCAAAATCAGCACTTCTACTCTGATACCCTTGATGCATACAGCCCTGCACACATTATAGCAGCTACAAATATTTTAAATCCATGTAGAACTATTTAGTTTGGCAGGGGAAGACTCTCGGCTCTGTGAGCTGAATCCACATGACCCTTAATTTCTGAGTCCCGCCTCTTGAATGCCTAATCAAGTAGCTTTCCAAAGTTCAATCATGGTGTCAGAGACCCTAATTCAACATTATTCCTACATGAGAATGAAATCCCTAAAACTATGTTATTGCCTTGGATGGGTCTCACAGATGTGCTGGAGAAAGTTGTCATTAAATGAATTTCTGATGGCCATAGGGGAGAGAAGTGAGCATATTACTCCGACAGAAACAGCCAGGGTAAAGTTGAAGGCAACGTAATGTTAAGCTACTTATTTGTAGCAGGACCTCTGAACAGACTTCAGTAATTGTTGTGAAAATCTGTGGCTCGCTAAATGCCCAGAAGTACTTAGGAGTGATCATTAAGTCTATTGTCTGAGTCCTTTTGTGATGTCATGTCATGTAGTATGAACCAGTAGAGCAATGATTCTTGAGTCTGGGCAGAGCAAGGTTTATTTGAACATCTTGGTACATATGCAGAAACATACATAAAATGTTATGTCATACAATTTAAAACACAAGTGAAATATATAATCAGCCTAACCATATGGACAGTGCATCATCAATAAGTCATAGACAACAAATTGGCATACCCCATAAATCAATAAAAATGCATATCAATGTAGTTAGTGATAGAGAGTGTAATTTGTCATTTGCATAGTTGGAGCTCTGCCTTAGTGAAAGGATATCTTGACTGCTAGATAATGCTTTGCATGCTTGTCCAACAATATTGTTGCTCTTTTGATGTTGTTGCTAATGGCAAATGATATCAACTTCAGTTCTGTTATTGAAATATTAAAAAGGAGGAAAGGAAATGGAACACATGATTTCTTTTGTTTTTTGTTTCCTGATAAGAACTTTTATTTTTAAGCAGGACCAGTCAAGTTCTCATCGGAATGTAGAACACATTTTCATAGACTCTATCACAACACAAGGGACTGTTCAAAACCAGCATGTATGTATTCATTTTTTATATCATAATACTGTGTGTATCTATATTCGTGATCAGTAACATTGGTTTCTGATAGTCATATACACCATGTTTCTGGCTGCCTTACGACACTTTATTCTAGCCTGGTCCCAGATCTGTTTGAGCTAGAACACAAATACTCATTATGAATTAATTGAATGCCTAGGTGCCGTAACATGGTGTCTTGCTCTAACGTTAGCCAAACTCTTTTCGATGACCTCATATTCCATTTTTTAAAACCAATTAAACAATAGAATCACTTGTCTTTGAATAGAAGCAATAAGTGGACAGTTGAATCAAAGCATATAACATGTCAGTGTTCCACAGCATGTGCCATTAAGTAAACATTAATTTAGCGGATCTACTGAACAATCATGTTGTCATTGTAGTTTGTATTGGAAAAGGGACAGATGACATCAGACAGTAAGTAGTGAATGACCTCCGATAGTATGTCCCCTGACTGTATGTTAGCTTCTCAGATGGCTGCCTGAACTGAACTGTCTGAGCAGCAGTCCGGCCACCATTGTGGACCAGTGAATTAGAGCATGGAGTTTTGCTGTCTTCTTTTTTGTGTTGTCAATAAAGCAAAACACAACCACAACAGCCTCGTAGACTACTGAAACTCAGTTTATTGAAACACTGGTCATACGTTACAGCGTGTTGGCTTTGCTCACCAACAACCCCTTTCCTATTGAATAAAGAGAAACGTGTCATAGAAGGCCAACTCATTCCCCTCTCTCTTCAGCCTCCCTAATCCCCTGGACTCCAGTGTGGTGCTCAGGCCAAGGAGGGAGAAATTGTGAAATACTCTCTCTTGGATGATTTTAAAACTTTGACTGGCTGGACTTGAATGTCCTTCTGATTTAAAATGGCATGTTTGTGTTGTTGCATATATTCAGAACAGCTGTAAAAACATACAGTACCAGTCAAAAGTTTGGACACACCTATTCCAGGGTTTTTCTTTACTTTTACTATTTTCTACATTGTAGAATAATAGTGAAGACATCAAAACTATGAAATAACACATATGGAATAATGTAGTAACCAAAAAAGTGTTAAACAAATCAAAATATATTTTATATTTGAGATTCTTCAAAGTAGCCACCCTTTGCCTTGATGACAGCTTTGCACACTCTTGGCATTCTCTCAACCAGCTTCACCTGGAATGCTTTTCAACAGTCTTGAAGGAGTTCCCACATATGCTGAGCACTTGTTGGCTGCTTTTCCTTCACTCTGCGGTCCAAGTCATCCCAAACCATCTCAATTGGGTTGAGGTTGGGTGATTGTGGAGGCCAGGTCATTGATGCAGCACTCCATCACTCTCCTTCTTAGTCAAATAGCCCTTACACAGCCTGGAGGTGTGTTGGGTCATTGTCCTGTTGAAAAACAAATGATAGTCCCACTAAGCGCATTACCAGATAGGATGGCGTATCGCTGCAGAATGCTGTGGTAGCTGGTTGAGAAAATGCCAAGTGTGCAAAGCTGTCATCAAGGCAAAGGGTGGCTACTTTGAAGAATCTAAAATCTAAAATATATTTGGATTTGTTAAACACTTTTTTGGTTACTACATGATTCCATATGTGTTATTTCATAGTTTTGATGTCTTCACTATTATTCTACAATGTAGAAAATAGTAAAAATAAAGAAAAACTCTAGAATGAGTAGGTGTGTCCAAACCTTTGACTGGTACTGTATAGTAGAACATTTAAATGATATTATATTCAAATAAAGATAAAAAGTATTGTCTCATAGGCTGGTCTAGTGGTTAATGCTGCCGCCTCTGGCACACATGTCTACTGTGTATGCGGCGATTCAAATCCCGACCCCACTGCAACGCTGACGCACACTTCTACTCTCTGAACTCCAGGCGGTGCTATGGTCAAATTACCAAATTAAAATAGAGCTCTTTGGCCACGCACACCAGTGGTTGGTTTGGCGTCGAAAAACAGAAGCATATGCAGAAAAGTACCTCATACCTATGGTAAAATATGGTGGTGCATCTTTGATGGTATTTGGCTGTTTTGCTTCCACTAGTCCTGTGACCCTTTTTAAGTTCAACGGCATTATGAACTTTACCAAGTACCAGGACATTTTAGTCAAATACCTGGTTGCCTCTGCCAGGAGGCTGACACTTGTCCGCAAGTGGATCTTCTAGCAAGACAGTAACCCCAAGCACTAATGAAAATCCACAAAGAAATTGTTAATTGACCACAAAATCAACATTTTGCAATGGCCATCTCAGTCTCCGGACTTGAACCCCATTGAAAAATTCTGATTTGAATTGAAGAGGGCAGTCCATAACCGCAGACGAAGGATATCAAGGATCTGGAAAGATTCTGTATGGAGGAATGGTCTACGATCCCTCCCAATGTATTCTCCAATCTACTCTTTTTGTGGGGAAAAAGGTTCAGTGTCGTTATCCTCGCAAGGATAGAGTGCTGGAGTACTGAAAAAAATAATAATCTCTGAGCAATTGTATTCCCAATTTCTTTGAGCATACAATATAGCTCAGTATTTGTATTATTATTATTTAAAAAATTAAAGTGATTAACTGTTTTCTTTATCATTTTACAGACTACAAAAGATGTGCAAGATTGCTAACACGGCTAGCAATGAGTCCACTCTGCACACAATAGTAGACTTTGCATGTGAGTATACTTTCTTTTTAGGCGTTAAACTGTCACGGGGGTTAGATTTGCATATTCAAAAGAGGAACCCTTTTTGGTTATAGATAGCACCTTTTTTTCTAAGCGTGTATGTATTGAAAATACATTTATAGTGTTAATGGAGATTCACATGCTGTACAACTCCACCAGAGTATAGTTGGCTGTGTTTTCAACATATCCATCTTGATTATTTGTGTTAGATGAGAGCAAGTATTTGTATAGCTGAAGTAATTTTACGTTGAAAGTCATGACAAAGTTACATGTGAGCGATAAGTTAGGGCCTGCAATGAGCATTGTCCTGTATGAAAAGAGTTAAACAGTAAAACAAGGATAATTTTGAAGCGTGACCAAGTGTGTTAACAAGTTGTCAGTCACACAATGTAAGCTGCACACCACTTGGTCAGACAATGAAAAAGGAAGGACCTGATTGTCTTGGTCCAGCTAATTTGCTAGACCGGCATCATTGTTAAGTTGATAACCCTTTGTTACACTTGTCTATTGCCTCCACCTGATGAGGCTGATGACAGCAGGGATGATGATATCTGTGACCTACATTTGTGTTCAGGCTCACTTAGAACTGACTCCATGTCAGTTGATGGCATCTAAGGACCTTTAGATGGTCTAACATGAATGAAGCCCCCATTACAAGCACCGCTTTAGTTGGAGTGTCATTGGAATTCAATTGATTGGAAAATTGAGGGGGCTGGCACATTAGCAGTTTTTCAGTCTCTCCAGTCATTATTCTTTTTTACTCTGAGAATGTGTTCTAGTCAGAACCATAATGAGAGATCTACTGCCACTGGGCTGTCATTAAGGGACTTACGAAGGGCCTATTAGGTTAATCATCGATTGATTCATTCAGCTCATTCGAAAATAAGTCATGAAGTGCCCTTTAACCCTTAGTCCCTAATAAGGAAAAATGGAAGAGCAGCTCAAACCCTTCATATTCTACCTCATAAAAACAAAATGGTTAACAATTATATATATATATATATATATATATATATATATATATATATATATATATATATATATTCACTCATAGGACAAGAATGTCACAGCACACAGATTGTGTATTTCTGCTAGATGGGAGATTCCGTGGCCTATTTTACAAACTAAGAATGTAAAGAATTAAAAATTACATTAGAAAAATATGCCCTCCTGTTTTTATGACAAATAATAACATTATGTAATTGTTTGTAATTTGATTTTGCTGTGTGTTTCAGGTTCAAAATATTGAAAGCGGGATCTATGTTTTGCCAAGGAAGTGCCTTCAATTTGCAGCAGTCACATTAAAAACATAGTATTGTAATTGTTTATAGTATTTTTATTTTTGTTTGTGATACTGTATGTATATGAAAATGCTGACAGACTTCATTGGTTTTATGAAATAGATTCACATTTTATTTTCATGTATCATGTATTTTTAAGAAAACATTAATTTAATGTTGAATACACCTATTTATTGAAATGTATATAATTATTCACAATAATTCTGAAATATTCAATTATTTTCTTAAAGTTCTCATCTGATTTTTTTTTCTCATCATGTGTGAATTCATCTCACTGAATATTATTTGCTTTGTCAATATTACATTTTGAGACGGTCCTACCATGGTCGTTTTAGATATGTCTTTCACTGTCATTGTCTACATTGCATTTAATTTGGCACTTGAATGATTTCACACAAGGAAAACATATTGAATGATGACGATGCACTGCAGTACTGAACAATAAAAAATATTGAAGCACAGCATATTTGCAATTATTATAGAAGAGCGTGTTGAGGAAAACATCTCTGAGGTGTCTAGTGTTAGGACACTCAATAGGGAAGCTGCAAGCAGGGCTGCATCCCAAATGGCACCCTATTCCCTATATAGTCTACTACTTTTGACCAGAGCCCTATGGGCCCTGGTCAAAAGTAGTGCATGACAAAGGAAATGTCTACCAATAGGATGAAATACCATAATCCTAACATCAGCATGTGACACACACAACTATATTTCACTCAAGAGTGTCCTGTTGGGAAGACCAAATAGCAATTATTCAGAGGGTTATTTCAGTTCTGTCTGCACCTCATAACCCCTACAATTTCGAAAACAACACATGTTTTAGGGGGGGGAAATGTATGCAAAATCCTTTCCTCAATGTATTAGCAAAGGTTATACTGCATTTCCCAATCTGTAGCTGACTTGGTTTCAAAATCGCTGGCACACTTTCTGTTTGTCCCTTGAGAACCCAAACTCATTCCAATCTTGGACTATTGGACAACAGAAAGTGAAGCAATTCAAACTCAACAAAACCAAATGGACTGGAAA